AGTATGTAGCAGGTCACCTGGTCCTCAGCCTCTCTGTCTTCCCTGCTGGCTGCTCTCAGGACAGCCCCCATTCTTTGGGTGTGTCTTTGGCCCATTGAGAACCATTGTTCCACAGGTAATTAGCATGTCCACAGGCTCCACAGGCTCGGCCCTGCCCAATGCTTAACCACATGCAGGGAAATCTTCAGTTTCCACACAGATTACAGATCTACACACACAGACATTATATACTCACATAAACAGTGTACACAGGATCAGAAAACAACAAGCTCCCATTCAATACCCCACATGGCTCCCTTTTATACAGATTTCTGGGGCCAACACCCCCACCTAGGGGTGCAGCAGCGATCTGGCTGCTTCCCTCCAATTCGGTAATGTGACACCCCTAGAGGCTAGTTGACCATAGCCAGCCCAGGGATCCGGGAAGCACAGAGGTGGCCGAGGGCTGGGCTCCCCTATTTTAGCTATATGAAAATATTTCCAAGTCCAGGTGGACTTTTCTCCTGTTTTCAAATCCACTTCCAAATCCACTTGGAATGCAAATACTCACAGAAACATTCCCCTGGCTACACTGATCTTCCCGACTCCCTAAATCCTGCAGCTCCTACTCATGAGCAGGAAGCTTCCTCCCGTAATGCAGAATCAGGTGATGTGTATGCCTAGAACTTACAAAGAACGCTGGAGTTCTTTCCCCAACGCTTCCTCCTTCCTTCCCGATAATGTCACACGCCCTCGATGATCAGCATGCTTTGGAAAAGCAAAGAACGCCTTTTCAAGCGCTTCTTCTGGACTGCTTCAAAGTAGGCTGCCAAACATCCCTTGCAAAGGCTGTTCATTCCCATGGCAGGACGCGGTTTGCTGCACGACTGGCAATCAGAGGCGTTTAACGCTTGGGGACTTTTCAATTGCTATAATTACACAATTAAAATGTGGGGCTTTTTGTCTCTGATCCGACACGCTCGTCATTATTCTCCAGCATGTTCATCACCGTTCAGGACAGGCAGGAGAGGGCAGCCCGCTGTGTTTCCTGCACTCTAGCGCTGCGTGAGGCAGCCAGGCGAGATCCTGGGCAGAAGCTGGGTAGTTGACAGCGGGGATGCGTTCAGCTGAATGGGAGAAAGCTGCAGAGGACCAAGCCGGGAATGACGTTTTCTAGCTCAGTGGGATGGGGGGAACGTTGGTAGGATGTAAAAGGAAATCGCCTTTTGTTTCGGAGTCCCACAGATGTATTCTCAATGAGATTGGGGGCTGATTAAACTCAGCGCCTCAGGACCACCAAGTTTTCCACTGTAGGCGCCTCACGGTCAAAGCCTCCGGCTCCTGCCAATCAAGCAGAACTGGGCATGGCTGCTTCAGAGTCCATCCCCGCTGCTCCGGGATCAGACAAAGGCTCTGCAGGGCGAGCCATGCTAAGTTCTCTGCCCCCGTTCTCCTCAGGGCTGAGACAACTGCCCACGTGGCATGTGTGTGATCCCAGGAGCCATGGCCCGTGCCGGTTTTCAGACTCACAGCATGGCCACCGAGCAACCTAGTGCTTTAAACCAGTTCCGGTCCCCCGTTAGGGCTGGATCCCGCCGGTCCCTGCAGGCGGCTGCCATGGGTGGAGCCATGCTGGGTCCCTTGGGTGGCCGGGCCCTTGCTCACTGCCGTGCAAGGCGAGGAAGGGTGAACACTGGGTATGTCTCGAGGAGACACCAGCTTAGCCCTGCTCCCACATGTGCAATGCGTCTGCCACTTCGGCCTTTCTCCTCTCGCCAGGCAGGCCCAACCGAGAGCTGTGCTCTGGCATTCATTACTGGAAGAGCCAGTTCCCCTGACCCTGTCCTGCTCACCCCTCTTGCCTTGTGCTGACATGGGAACACTCCATATCTAGCTGCTCGGGGGGGAGCCCTTGGTGGTACAGTGTATGCCCATGGCTGGATCTCAGCCCAGCTGAGTCCCTTTATGTCCAGAAACAGGGACATAAAACTGCTTGACAGGGGCAGCCCATGAGCTCCCTGCAAGTGGCTTAAAGCCGACGTACCTGGCTCTAGCTGCCCACTTCCCTCTCCCTCTCCTAGATGGGTTCCCAGGGTAGGGCGGGGCCCAGACAGAGCAAGGTGCACTCTGGTGAGCTAGGGCGTATCTTCTTCCAAAAAAACCGGCCATGTAGCCGTAGCCTCAAAGTTGGCAACCCTAGTTGGACTCCGGGCCAGAAAGGAAGGGTTCCAATCCAGGGTTTCCACCCCACCTGCCCTTGGAAGTCCTGGCTGTGGCTTTTCTCTGCTGTACTAATCATTAGGTTAGATGTTGCATTAAAGCCAAACCGCCAGATTCTCTGAAACCATGAAAAAAAGACTCCGGACATAAGGATGTAAAAGCGAGCCGAAGTATTTTGCAGTGTTTATCTTCAGGGCTGACCCATGTGCCAGGACATGCAGCGTAATTAAGCTGTCCAGAGGCAGAGTGTTTTACCATAATCAAGTCCAATGAGCATCCAATTGGACAGTGATAAGAGGATAATGTAGGAGAGCCAGTGGGTGACGTGAGGCAGCAGGAAACCTGTTAGCATTAGAACACGACTGTGACGCATTTTCTGTAACCCAGTGCTGGGGGTAGTTTCCTTTTTATTGCATTTGTTCAGAAAGTTGAGTTCCCAACTCAAAGGGTATACGTCTACACTGCACAGTTATTTGGAATAAGCTGTTCTGGAATAGTTATAATAATAGCTATTTGGAATAAGCTATTCCAGAAGCCTCAAAACGAGTCCAAGGCAGGCTTCCCTAAGGTAGACGTGCTATCTCGATTTACAGCCCCAGGAGGAATAACTTAGAATGGCCCTGGTGAGGGGCTGTTTCAAAATAGCAGAAGTGGAGCCTCTACACACGCCTTATTTCAAAATAGCTATTTCGGATTAGGCGTTATTTTTACAGAAGCCAGAATAAGCCATCCATTATTGCGAAATATTTTAGAAATAATGGAATTGCCATGTAGACGCTCACATCGTTATTTCGGAATAACGGCCATTATTCCAAACTAACTTTGCTTGTGTGGACACACGCCAGTTGCCCTGCTAACTACTGAGCGCTGACAGGTAACTTTCCAGAGGAGAGCTGCAATTTTACATCATTCCCATCGATTTGCTCAAGATTCACTGGAAAAATACAAGGTAGCGTTCTGAGTTCTTTGTCCCGGGAACTTTTCCCAAAGGAACCTCATGGGTCAGTTAGTCCAGTATCATGCCGTATTGACCCCGAGGCTGTTTAAGCAGCCTACTCCTGTCTGTTATCCCAGCAGAGGTACACAAAGGACTCCTGGAAGGAGGGAGAGAGTGAAGGATATTTCACGAGGAAACCAAGAGCAAACCTACCCCCGGCAATCCAAATGACAGCACGCTAGAGCTTCAATCACATCCCCTCTAATTGAAAGCAAATATTGTAACTGTCGTGCTCAAGGATTTCAGTCGTACGTCGGCCGGAGTCCCTGCTGGGTGCTCCAGCATTAGGCCTCGGTAACTGTTCATTCGAACAGTGTGGCGCTGGCATCAAAATTACACATTGGTGAAATGGTCGGGGGGGGAGCCATCCTGTCTGTTTGTTGTCACTAAAGTGCTGGTCTTGTCACCTGAGCTTACAAAGAAGTCGTGTCTAGCCAGGAGTGGGCAGTAATTTTTGAAGGGGGGCACTCTAAGGGAATGTCTACACTAGCCCCCTACTTGGAACTAGGGTGGCTAACGTAGGCATTCCAACTTGCAAATGAAGCCCAGGATTTAAGTATCCCAGGCTTTATTTGCATGTTCCCGGGTGGCACCATTTTTAAATGCCCCATAGTTCGAACTCCCTGCCTGCGACTACACTTGGCACGGACTAGGTAGTTCGAATTAAAGCTCCTAATTTGAACTACCTAGTCTGTGCTGCGTGTAGCCAGGGGCAGGTAGTTCGAACTACCGGGCATTTAAAAATGGCAGCGCCCGGGAACATGCAAATAAAGCCCGGGATACTTAAATCCTGGGCTTCATTTGCAACTTCGAATCCCTACGTTACTCATCCTAGTTCGAACTAGGGTGGCAGTGTAGACATACCCTTAGATTTTGGTAAGTGGCAAGGGCTGCACTTTTCCGTGGAGGGGTTGCGGGGTCTGGGACGGAGGTTGGGTGCACAAGGGAGCTCGGGATAGGAAAACGAAGTGCAGGAGAGGGTGTGGGGTCTGAGCGGGACTTTGGGTGAAAGAGGGGGTTGTGACCTGGAGCAGGGGATTGGGGTGCCGGGTCTGGGAGGGAGTTGTGACCCAGGAGAGGAGGGGAGGGAGAGTGCAGAGGGTTTAGATGGTGAACTGGGGCAGGAGGAGGTGGTGATCTGGGCGGGTAGTTCAGGGGAGGGAGGGGCCGGGGTGCCAGAGGCAGGCTGTGGCCAGAAAGCACTTATCTACTCGGCTCCCAGCCAGCAGCCCTGCAGGATCCTGAGAGACGCTCCCTGCCTGCCACAGCATGAGGCTGCTCAAAATGGCTGGCTGCTTCCTGTGGCTCTCTGCTTTGGGCACTGGAGGGTGGGGAGGATTCGTGCTCTGCTCCTGCCCCCAGCAAAATCTCTCCGCTCTCATTGGCTGGGTTCCACAAAGCCTTCCCCTTGCCCCTCCTGCCCCTTCTCCCACCCCCCCACCCCCGAACCCAGAGCAGAGTCATGGGGGAGCCGCCACATGCTTAAAGCAGCAGGGGATTGCGCTGAGGTGACTGGCTGCTTTGTGCCTCAGTGTTCCAGTGAGGGGAGGTGGCCCGTGGGCCAGATTCAGTGACCCGTGGGCCAGATTGAGCAGCCCACAGGCTGGATCCAGTGACTTGATGGGCCAGATGCGGCCTGCCGGCCATATCTTGCCCATCCTGGTCTAGGTGCAAGTTTCTGGTTATAGGCCTTCACTGAGTTTATAATCTTTCCTCAAACAGTGCTCCCCTGGACTTCACTGGGAGTTTTGCTTGAGGAAGGACTTCAGGGCTCAGCCTAATGGCCTTACTGTACAGCTGCTGGGCGGTTTGTCCGCACTCCAATGTCAAGCCCTAAGATCATTTGATCTAGACACAAACTGATGATTTAGTGCTGGTAAAACTCATCCATCTCCTGCCTGTAGCACAGCCGAAAGGGCGCGTTCCTGGCATGCCTGCGTTTGAGCGCGCGGTGGGAGACGGGTGCAGCAGACCTTCTGCGGAAGTCTGCCCCGTGTGCTGCCCAGTATGGAGCGTGTGCCTCGGGCCCTAACGCAGCTCTTTGCCCGCTAACCAGGAGGTGTACGTCGGGAAAGAGACGATGTGCACTGTGGACGGTCTGCACTTCAACAGCACCTACAGCGCGCGCGTCAAAGCCTTCAACAAAACCGGCGTCAGCCCGTACAGCAAGACCCTGGTCCTGCAGACGTCCGAGGGTAAGCCGCTGGAGCAGTGCCACTCAGAAGCGAGACGGTGCTGCCCACACACAGGGTCCGTAGCACCCACCTCGCGTAACTCCGTGGTCTCTGAGTTTAAAAGCCAAGCATTGCGGAATGGCGGCTGTGGCAAGAGTAAAGGTGATAAGTCAGGAGAATATAGCCAGCGAGGTACGGCGCTCTCCTGGGGGGGAGCTGGGGATGCGGCGACAGGCACGCCACTCTGAGAAAAGGCATTTGAAGGATGGCAGCTTTGCACCTCAGAGACCGTGTTGTTTTTAAACGAAGCTCCAATGTCTTTCATTCCCTTGAAATTAATAATAATAAAAAAAAGCCCTCCTTAGAAACCAAGGACTGTGCTGGGCCGCGCGGAGATTGGGATGTGTGCTGTTGAGCTGCGCATTCAGACTACATGGCTCCATCAAGGCATAAGGGTTCAGTTGGCAAAGGCTTCCCCAGCCGACAGATCCGCGTCTAGACTGCCGTGCTGTGCTGGATCAGCTGATCGTCGGCACAGTGCGGCGGCCCTGTTTATTTTAATGAAGCGGGGATTATTTAAATCCCCACTTCTTTGCCTATGCTGGGTAAGCTAGTTTACATGGCTCCGTCGAGGGAGCCATGTAGTCTAGACATGCCCCCAGTGGTGTATTGTCAGAAAGAGAAAGACTGTGGGGCCATCCAGAATTCTTTCTATATGGGTATGGCTAGACTGGGGGGGGGGGTTTAAATATCTCCAGTATCCTGAAAAAACTCCTCCACGTCCAGGGAATGCGTTTGCTCTTCTGCTTTTTTTTGCAGGGGACCTGTATTCCTCATTCTACGAGGAAGAAGGGGGCTTCCGAAAGAGGGAGGGTTCTGACATTTGGCCCAGTCCAAATGTCAGAAAAGCCTCTTCAGACAAAAGAATCAGAAAAAGGTACACCAAAGGCGGAGTGCCCTTAGTCTAGCCGTACCCTGTAACAGCAAAGTCGCGCTGATTCCATGTACAGAAGCTGCTTATATCCACCCCCTTCAGCTGCCCCCGTGAGATTGCTAAATGCAGCTGTTCGGCATAACCAAAGGGATTCCCCTTTCCATAATTTCCAAAACACTTCATTTTCCAAGCCAAAGCAAGATGTCCCTACCTGCCCGCACAGCAGACTTAGCCTGGCCTAACCAAACCATGCTCCTTCCACGTCACGCTGTCATCCCCAGCACTGGCAGGAGCGGAAGCAGAAAGTAACGAATCATTCTGGTGCTGGGGCCTAAGGCAGTTTAAACACAGCTTGTCCACACGCAGCAGCTGTGACTTGTGAGCGGTGCGGAGGAGAGATGTGATCAGAAACCTCAGCACAGACCCGGGTGAGCAGATCCGGATGTGGCCTTTTCCACTGTTTCACTCCGCCTGTTGTCAGGCGATGACGGTGGTTATTCGAGAGGAAGCCGTAACGCTGCCCTTTACTTTGGGCATGGCTGCAGTACAGATGGATGACGATATGTAGCTTCTCCACCTTCTAGCTTGTTCCTGCTTATATTTACAGTGCGCTAAGTCCCTCCTGTGAGCCTCCTGACTGACAGGGGGGTAGGATTCTCAGCGTTCATTTGCCACACGTGCCGTGCTTGACGCTCACGCATGTTGTCCCCAAAAACAAGGAGTGCGAGTGAAGCTGTTGAGAAGCAGGCGCATATCTAGGGAGAACCTGTGCTCCAGACGGGGGAGATGTATGATGAAAGGCTGTTGGGACAGTGGGGATTTCCCGTGGAAATCCACAGGGGTGCTAGGGTTCATCACGCAGGTTGGAGAAGGCCGAAGGAAAAGGAACCGAACCTCGCCGGGGCAGCGTACTGCAGAGTTCTGTGTCCTGAGGAGAAACGAGGGGCAGCGAACACTTCCCAGCTGCCTTGGAGATGGAAACTTTGTTCACAAGTTCTTACTTCGGCTGGGGTGGGATTTTCCAAACCTCGCGATGGACTCGGGAGCACAAGTCTAGGAGGATGTCAGTAGGGTTTTGTGATGCTAATTCATGTAGGCACTTTTGGACGTCTCTGCTCGTAGTTGTTATTTTTCAAAAAAAGAATGAGGTAAGATACCATGGGTCATCAAAGACCCCTGTTACCATCAGTGATGGATGGGTGGAGGGGCGTCTGGACTGGAGGACTCTTGGGGTGACCCCGGTTCACACAATACCAGAGGGACCACACCCAAGTCCAGAACCCAGCAGGGAGCTGATGTCTCCAGCCATCTACCTTGCTACAGTGACAGCCAACTGGGCAGTGTTTTAAATGTAGTGAGCTGGGGCATGTAAAGGCCAACTGCCCTGAGAGCAGCTCATTGCACCGGGGTCACACCAAGGGTATGTCTACACCGAAATAGCTGTTTCACCATCCCTGTAAGCCTCATTGTACGAGGAGTCAGGCATGGCTCGAAACAGCACTTTATTTCAAAATTTGCTGCTGTGTAGACAGCACCAAACTTCGAAATAGCCTATTTTGAAATAGACTTGAAATAAGCTACACAATTTGCGCTATTTTGAGTGTAGGGTGTAGTGTAGACACACTCCAAAAGTCCTCTGGCCCAGATGCCTCTGCACTACAGAAAGGGACAGCACTCCTCCCATCCCTCGCACCGCCAAGAGAAAGCCTTTCCTTGAGCTCACTAGGAGCTGGACTGGGCCTTCGCAACACCCCAGGGGGCCTCTGATTCCTCTCTAATCTTTAGCCCATAAAGAGCTTTGTTATTCAGCTTCCTGCCCAAAACAATGGAGCAGGGAAAACCCAGCCCTTGTTACATAGAACCAGAAGGGACCTCGAGAGGTCAAGTCCAGTCCCTGCCCTCATGGCAGGACCAAGCACCATCTAGACCATCCCTGACAGGTGTCTGTCCAACCTGCTCTTAGATATCTCCAGTGATGGAGATTCCACAACCTCCCTCGGCAATGTATTCCAGTGTTTAACCACCCTGACAGGAAGTTGTTCCTACTGTCCAACCTAAACCTCCCTTGCTGCAGCTTAAGCCCATTGCTTCTTGTCCTGTCCTCAGAGGCCGAGGAGAACGATTTTTCTCCCTCTTCCTTGTAACACCCTTTTAGATACTAGAAAACTGCTATCACGTCCCCTCTCAGTTTTCTCTTTTCCAAACTAGGCAAGCCCAATTCCTTCAGTCTTCCCTCATAGCTCATGTTTTCTAGAAGTTATGAATCAGTCAAATCTGCAGAATGGAATTTGTCCACCGGAGAAACTGGGGTAGCCGGGGTTAAAGTGCATTCGTTCGCCCAGACACACCCTCTCCCTTCCTTCTGGCTCCGTTTCCTTGGGGTGGATATTTGCAGTGTGGGGTCTAAGCTCCCTGCAGGCCTCACATAACAAAGGAGCCGGTCAGGGGTCTTTTGCTGGGCCCTGTTTACAGCATTTGCCTGGAGACAGGCTTTCAGAAACACATCCTTTGTTCACTGGAATCTTTGAACTGAATGGCTTTTTTTGTTATTCCAGTGCAAAAAAAAAATATGCATATGGCCCCAAGCGTTTTCTCCTCTCAGAGGCACTCGGAGCTCTTTGGGCCCAAAGCAAAGAAATCACTCGTGCCCTGGTTCAGCTTAACGGTATTTAAGCGAGTCGTTGAACAGAATCCTGCTGCTCTGAGGACTGGTGGAAGTTCCTGGTTTGGGCCTATAGCAGAATAGGCCTTTGAGTGCAGCTTTGCATGACCTGGGCTTAGCAAAGTGCTTTCTCCTCCCGCTCCGCTCTGCAAAATGCTGCGGGGCATTTTAGGAGGCGGGGAAGTGAGAAGAGAAGAGGACAGAGCCAAGAAGAGCAGACCCAGTCAGAAGACGGCCACGCGACTGCTAATGCCTTGTTAGTAACGGGTTACGGGGGGAGGTTATGTAGCTGAAGGCATTTGGGAGTCTGGTTCATTTGCTTAATTCCTGATTTCCAGCTCTGGCATATGGGGCCTGATCCAAAACCCACTGTAGTCAAGGGAAGTCTTTCTGTTGTGCCCACTGAAATAGACTCTAGGGATCTGTGGGGCTGCATGGGCCGTGCCCCATCACCATCCGCAGCACAGGCAGAGGAGCGGTGAAATAACTTCGCTTTCTTAAGGAGGGAGACAGTGTGAAGAGCAAGGAGGCTCAGAGGGGAGATCTAGGTGTCTGGTATTCACACGGACAGTCTGTTATTTTCGGCTCCTGTCTGGTAAAAAAATTCAGAGAATACCGGACACTTAAAATGTCTGATATTTTCGGAATTTTTCCCCGGCCAAGAGGTGAAAATGCCGGGCACCTGGCAACCCTACAAACACTAAGCACCCGGCCTCCCTCGAGGCCCCCGGTCCCCAACACCCCCAGCCTCCTGACCCCAGCCCCCATGCTTACCTGGTTCTCCAAGGCTGCTGGCCCAAAATGGCTGCTGGCCAAAAGACCTAGGGGAAGCAATGCTTAGTGCTCATCGGCTCCCCTGTTCCTATCCCTGCACTTAAAGGGGCATGCTGTTTTAGTGCGGGGTTTTTTTTTTTTTTTTTTTTTTGGTTTAATAAGTCCTTGGAGGTGGGTTTTTTTTTTTTCTTTTTTTGCTCAACAATTTTGGTCTCCTCCCTCCTCCCCCTTTTTTTTTCCCCGGTGTTTTTTTTGGCGGGGGGGAGAGGTGTTCGGTATTTTGGTTTCAACCATCTGGCAACCCTAGGAGGAACTAGCAATGGGCTAGTATCTGTTTGGGGCAGTTTCTCCTGGCAGAAATAACAGGAGAAGCTGTCGCAGGAGATTTGAAAGGTCCAAAATTCAAGAGTTATGGCATCCGCAGACATCGGCTTCAGCTCAGCCCACGCTCAGCCGTAAGCACAGCTGTGAGACTGCTCCTTGAAGTCAATGGGACTGTTCCATGCGATAGGTCTCCAGGGGATAGAGACCTCATAAATATGACAGACAGAGACAGGCAATCCTGCTAAACAGACTCCCTGTTGTCCTAAAAGGGCTGTTTCGTTTTCCATTTTAAGAGATGACAGTTTGCTCTTTTAAGAGTCCTGCCAGATGCCTACAGCTGGGCCGGGTGCGTTTCTAGCTCTGAGGCTGTTCATTGCACTGAGCCATTTTAAGCCGTCCGTCCCACAAGACGTGCAGCACCATTCTCCCGCGAGCTTTGTTGTGTCCCCGAGATGCAGAGCCACATACTCGGTATTTAACCACCCGACCTAAAAACGGCAGCGACGCTCTGGCGACTCTTGGCGAGGAAGAGAAAGTCATTGTGGCCGCATGATAGCTTGAGATCATCTCATCTCCCTAAGTTGGAAGCAGGCGATTGTGTAGGGTAGCCCTGAAAAGAAGTATCCAAGCAGATGCATCTTCTGCCTGTGCTCGGATGACCATTTATGTGTCCCTCTCTTAGCAGCCTTACAGGGCGTTGTTATTGTAAACGTGCACTAGTCAGACTTAACTCCATCGGCTGCCTGCTTCCTGGTAGGGTCTGTCTTTTCTTAGCTTTGTGGTGCCCAAAGCTGGGGATTTCTTAGAGGTTCTATGAAACCAGCTTCGAGAGGTGTTACCGAGCTGCCTGGCTCTGGCATGCAGCTTGGTAAAGCCTTCCTGTCTGGTTCGGACACAAGCAGCTCCTCCCACGAACAACAGATTTTCACGAGGACACAGAACAGGCCAAGCAAGGAAACTCAGGTTCACTGAGCTGCGCAGAATCATAGAATCATAGGACTGGAAGGGACCTCGAGAGGTCATCGAGTCCAGCCCCCCGCCCTCAAGGCAGGACCAAGCTCCGTCTACACCATCCCTGACAGATGTCTATCTAACCTGTTCTTAAATATCTCCAGAGAGGGAGATTCCACCACCTCCCTTGGCAATTTATTCCAATATTTGACCACCCTGACAGTTAGGAATTTTTTCCTAATGTCCAATCTAAACCTCCCCTGCTGCACTTTAAGCCCATTACTCCTTGTCCTGTCCTCAGAAGGGGAAGATCAAGATGCGCCTGGAATGGCTGGCACCCCAGTGTTTCCCTGAAGCTGTGTGCTTGGGCGGCCACTCAAAAGCTGGCAGCGTGTGTTTCTACTGGTGGTGCACATCCACACTTGCCTCAGTGCACGTAACACAATTTTATTCTGCACACGAATGGGAAAAATGAGTGAGAACATTGCTTTGGCAACCTGCCTTCCCCAGCAGAGAGCAGTATGGCGGGGGGGGGGGCGTGTGGAGCATTAGATTTGGCTTAAGAGACGTGTGACTGCATGGCTCTGTGGGGGAGCACAGTTGGAGGAGTCCGTAGGAATGCGGATGGGGAACACCTCTGACAGCACGGCTGCCTGCGCCAAAGATTCACATCCGATACCCTGTCGTGGGGCTGCCAGACGCAAAAGACAGCGTCGCCTGTAAGGCAGTGTGCATGCTGCAGACCCTTTGGCTCAGACCTCACCTCCTCCTTCCCTCCCGCTGTCTGCCAGCAGCCCTCTGCCTTTTCTAGCAGCTCCTTATGCTCCTACAACCCAGCTCTTTTGGAGTCCAAAGACATTAGGCTCAGCAGGAGCTGTGCCCAGTCCCCCGACCTCCATAAGAACCAATTACCCCGTGAGGCTGGTAATATGAAGTCCTGTGGAAGGTCAGCAAACTAGAAGACAGGGTGGAGTTTAGGCTCACCATCGGACTCATAAGCATTCAGAAGTACTGGACAAGGGAGGCTCCCAACTCCCCCCAGCACCTCTGCTCAGAGATCCCTGCTGCAACAGTGGAAAGGCTGTCGGGAGGGGTATTAAGACAATGACAGTGCACTTTGGGAATGGGGTGGCCACAAAGGACCAGAGTTGCTGTGGTGGGACCATGAAATCTCACCCATGCAGCTTGACAGAACCATAGAAGTGACTGGGAAAACTCCCATCAACTCCAGCAGCCAGGATCAGGTCCTCAGATCACAGGGTTCACTCTGAACAAAACTCCCATTGGGAGGATCAGGTGTGTATGATAGATACAAAGAGTTATCCAGAAACTCCTAACCTGTGGAACTCCTTGCCAGGGGATATTGTGAAACCCAAAACTATCACAGGGTTCAAAGACAAACTAGATATGTTCATGCAGAAAAGGTCCAACCATGGTTTTTAGCCAGGATGGGCAGAAAATACCACTCATGCTATAGGTATCCAGATTGCCAGAAGCTGGAGGCACACAACAGGGGGCGAGTCACTCTGAGATTCTGTTCATTCTCTCAGAAGCACCTGGAATTGGCACTGTAGGAAGACAGGCTACTGGGCTAGATAGACCATTGGTCTGTCCCAGATTGGACATTCTGATGTTGCTAAACACACCACCCTATGCCAGTAATGAGCGAGTAATGAGGGTACTTTTAGTAACACCATTTAAATCAACATTGTATGGAAAGGTTGTCAGCCCAACACAAATCCTGCACCAAGTGCCTTTTACTATGATGAGTCTATTGGATAAGAGTGTAGGGTATGTCTACACTACCCTCCTAGTTCGAACTAGCGGGGTAATGTATGCATACCGCACTTGCTAATGAAGCCCGGGATTTGAATTTCCCGGGCTTCACTAGCATAAGCGGGGAGCTGCCATTTTTAAATCCCCGCTGCTTCGA